AGAAGGGGACAGCCCCTCGAGGAGCCAGCCCAGGAAGAGGGGAGCAGCAGCTGTCCAGGGGTGAGTGAGCCATCCCGGGGCAGCTGGGGGCCCTGGAGTCAGCCAAGCGCCAGGCACCTGCTGCCATCCCTGCTGGTTGAGGGTGTGATGTGTGGCATGTGGCAGCCCACAGATGGGGACACTTCTGTCATCTGCGGGTGTCCAGATGCCTCGAGGCATCTTCCAGCTGGGGGCAAAAGGCGCAGCTGAGCACAAGCAGAGGGGTGGGAGGTGTGGGGGAGGCCAGCTGCCCTGAGCCCTGGTCCCTGAGTGTCTGAGGGCAGAGGCTGTGCGAGGCTGCGCCCTGCTGCTGCTGGAGGAGGGACAGGGGAGGGCGGTGCCCAGGGTGCTCCCGTGCTCAGCCTGTATGTCTGCCAGGCTGGGGGGCGGAGGGTGGGAGGGACAGGACAGCAGCCCCCCATGGACACTCAGATCCCTCTGTTCCCATGCTGCACCCCCCCCAGTGTGACCTAGGATGCCACAAGTGGGAGCAGCCCAGCCAAAGTCAGCAAGACTTCAGGACCTCAGGACCCCTCAGGACCCCCTCAGGCCCTCAGGCCCCCCTCAGGCCCCCCTCAGGCCCCTCTCAGAACCCCTCAGGACCCCCTCAGGCCCCCCTCAGGCCCCTCTCAGGCCCCCCTCAGGACTCCCTCAGGACCCTCTCAGGACCTTCTCAGGACTCCCTCAGATCCCCCTCAGGACTCCCTCAGGACCCTCTCAGGCCCCCCTCAGGACTCCCTCAGGACCCTCTCAGGACCTTCTCAGGACCCCCTCAGGATGCCCTCACATCCCCAAGATGCCCAGTGTCCCTTGTCCTGTGGTGGCTTCTCCCTTCTGACAAAGCCCCCTGCCCACCTTGCTTGGGCCAATCTCTGTCCGGAAAGGACCCTGGACACGCTATCCGAGCGCCCGGCTTGACCAGACCCTCAGTCCGGTGCTGCGGCGTCCCAGCAGAGCCTTCCTGGGTGCAGGGTGAAGGTGGAAGAAGGGGCTTCAGGGGAAGGATTTCCGAGGCGGTGCTGAGGGGAAGCGCAGAGAGCAAGACCAGGAGCAGTGGATGGCCAGAGCCAGGGCTGCCCACCCCAGGACTCGGGGGCTCCAGAGTGTCGTCCTAGACCTGCGGCCTCCGTGTCGGGCCCTGGCGTGCGCTGCTGTCACGTCACAGACAGCATGAGAGGTCCAGAGGCCAGGGAATGTCAGAGCTGGCTGGCTGACCAGACGACCGCAAGGCTCTTCCTGCCACCACAGGTGTGCGCTCCAGCTTCTGGAAACAGGGCGGCCATCCTCCAGCGCCCCTCCGAGGCTGTTCCCCACGGGCCCGGGCCTGGGGCTTTGGCTGGAGGCTGGGGGGCTCTTACCCTTGGCTTTCCTGTACCCCAGCCATGTCCTGGGGTACAGGGTAGATGTCAGAGGGGAGAGGGGCCAGGGGGCAGCGTGGCCAGGAAGGTGTGACCATCCCTTCCCTCTGAACGCTACGGGAAGACCCCAGGGCCAGGGGATACTGGAGAGAAGAAGCCCTCCTGCTGGGGGACAGTGCCCGGGGAGGAGCTGGGGACAGGCCAGCAGGGGTTCAGGTGTGGGGCGGAGTTCCCGAGTGTTTCCTGTGCCTGGGAGGGACACTAGCCTGCCAAGAGTGAGGAGGAGCTCCCGGGGCAAGAGGAGGCTGGGCCGGGGTGGGAGGGTCTGTGAGGAAGAGCAAGGAGCGGGTGGCCACCAGCAGGCCCAGGTCTCCGTGCAGAGGAGGGGAGGGGGACTCAGGGGATGAACGGCGGGTGGCACTGACCCCCACCCGTGACCCCTCCCACCCCATGGTGTCCCCAGCACCCCTTCCTCCCCCATGGCATCTCCCCCCGCCACCGCCGTTCTCCCTTTCCCACCCCCCCCCACCCCGTGGCATCCTCATCTGGCTTTCCGGCCAGACCGGCGGGGGGGGGGGTGGGGGTGGGGGGGAGTTTCCCAGACCCGGTTTCTGGGAAGAGGGGAACAGAAAGTGTCCATGGTGGCGGTGGCCACATTACTTTGGGTCCTCTCTCTGCTCAGCTCTGCAGAGAGTCTAGACTTGTGGCTGAGCCCAGGTTCCGGTCGCCTTGCTGGTTCCATCCCCCAGGTGCCTGGAGCAGGGCTGGGGCAAGGATGGCCGTGACCTCGGGCCAGACATCTCAGGGGCTGGTGGCACCCAGTCAGGAGGACTAACTGGGCTTTGATGCAGTCTTTTCCTGCGGAAGCCAAGGCACCAATCCACCATGAATGGAGAATCGCCTTGTGCTAAAAGCAGGGCGGTGGGCCTGGCATTCCTTTGCTTCGGGCTCCAATATCGGGGGAGGGGAGGTTGTGAAAGACCAGTCTCCACCCAGCCCCCAGTCTGGCTCCGAAGGTGGCCCCCTGGCCAGCCGTCAGGGACTCGGCTCAGGTTTCCCCTCCTCCCGTGGAAAAGGCCAGGTCTCAGAGCAGACTGTCAGGCTACCCTCCCCTGCCTGCTGTGTGCTCCAGGCTGTGGGAGAGAAGCTGCCTCCCTTCCTGCCCCTCCTCCAGGCTAGGGTGTCCCTTCCCTGCCCACCTGGCACCCATCCCCCTTCCAGAAAGCCCTCCCCATCTCCACCTCCTCCCACCTTCCAGGCCCAGCTCAAATGCTGCCTCCTCCAAGAAGCCTCCAGTCCTAGCCTGCCTCTGTGAACCCCCAGGAGTCAGGAGTCGATGGGAGGGCACGACCCCTCTGTGGGAGGGCACACCCATCTCGGTGGCCTGCCTCCCCATGCCGTGTCCAGTGCGGTGCCCAGGCGGGGGCCCCAAGGATGGACACGAAGAGGGAGCAGACCAGAGAGTAGAGTGAGGTCACAGTGGATGCACATTTTAGCTTGGGGAGTCGACCCTGGGTGGGTCAAGCCTGCACAGCCCGGTGTCCTCAGGGCCCTTTGCCCTCTTCCTAGGCACTTTGTTCGACCCCAGGTGGGCGGGGCATCGTTCTCACCACAGGAGGGGAGCTTGGGGAGGACAGGAGCGCTCCAGAGTCTGCAGCGTTTTCCTGGGCCCGCCCCTGGGCCACATCCAGCAGCCTCTCTGGAGTGACTCAGCCCACCCGCTCCCCCCCCCAGTGGCGCCCCCCCCCCCCCCCACTTCCCTAGAAGGCTCCGCTCCACAGGGCAATGCTGCATATTTTGTCACGAGCGGAGTTGCCCTCTATCCTCCCACCCCAAGTGTCTGGAGGAGCGGAGGACCAGGAGGAAGGGGCAAGAAGGATCCTCCGCACAGGCTGCCCCGTGGGCTCTGCAAGTACGAAGCAGGAGAGGGAGCTGGGAGCCCAGCCGTGGTGGTGGTGGCCGGGAGTGCAGGTCTGCTGAGTGCAGGCTGGGGAGGCTCTCAGGGGCTCCACCGTGGGGCTGGTGGGGCTGGCATGGGGGAGCCCGCAGCACGATCACACAGAGGCCCCAGCCCACCCCATGCTCCCCTCAGGGACGCCGCCAGCTGGTTAGGACGCTTCAGGAGGCCTTCCTGTGCGGCCCACACGGATGTGGCTGAGAGCGGCGGGGGGGGTGCTCCCCAGCCACGAGCAACAACAAAGTACACAGAACGCTACTTTAATTCATGAGAAATTCTATCAAGAAAACCAGATCGAGTGGGGAGGTAGAAACGGGTGGGGATCCCAGGGACGGAGGGAGAGAAGGGGGAGCCACGCTGGGACCCCCGTCAGGCTGGGCCCAGGAAGGATCAGCCTGGGGCCGCTGCGCTGGGGAAGGGTGGAGACAAGACCCCTCGTCAGGGGCCTCTGGGCAGGGGGCCCTGGTGGCAGGGTCTGGGGGGCACCGCCCAGCCACTCCAGTCCTCTGGGCCTCAGTTTCTACCTCTGTGAATGGGCAGGGGTGGGGGGAGCTCACCCTCACCCCTTGAAGCCTGTGCAGGGAGAGATACTGGAGTGGACTGAGGGGCCCATGTGGAGGCCCACAGGTGCATGGGGCTAAGTGGGAGCAGGGCCAGAAGGCCTGGAGGAGCAGGGGACAGGGCAGCGGGGGGCCTGCTCTGGAGATCCGGCTTCTGAGGAGGTGGGTCAGAGGAGGTGCAGCTGGGGGAGGGGAGGCAAGAGCAGAACGGCAGGAAGTCACCTGTCTGGGGGAGTTTCCACGTGTTGGTGGTGGGTCAGGGGTCAGCAGGGCATGCGCGCGGGGGTGCCTGCCCATGTGGCCTTCCTGCCAGGACGCTGGCCCTGGAGGCAGGGGCACCACCCCACAGCCACTGGGGGCCCAGCCCCGGGCCGTCCCCTCGTCCCCTCACTCTCTGGAGCTGGGGGCTGGGGAGGAGTGGCGTGGTCTTGCTCTCCTGGGCTGTTTCCTCACCAAATAGACTGGTTCTCTGTCTAGAAAGGCGGTGTGGGCTCCCACTTCCTTTGCCAGAAACTACCCCAGGCAGCCCTGAGCTGACACAGGGGCCGGGCCCGGCACCCCCACTCCAGCTGTTGTCAGCCAGCCCTGCCCCCTGTCTGCCTTCAGTGGGGTGCGGTGGTGCAGGCCAGTCCCACTCTCCTACCTCAGACACTTGCACAAGTGTGGGGGGGGTGGGGGGTGACAGCTTAGCTGGGAAAACAGGCTAATTTCCGTCAGTACCAACCCTGGAGCCAGGGGGCTCAGAGCGGTTGAGGGTGTGATGGGGGCTTGGGGGCTGAGCGTGATGGAGGCTCAGGGGGGTGAGGGTGTGATGGGGCTCAGAGGGGTGAGCGTGTTGGGGGGCTCAGGGGGGTGAGGGTGTGATGGGGGCTCAGAGCGGTTGAGGGTGTGATGGGGGCTTGGGGGGCTGAGCGTGATGGGGGCTCAGGGAGGGTGAGCGTGTGATGGGGGTCTCTCAGGAGGTGTGAGCGTGATGGAGGGTCTCAGAGAGGGGGTGAGGGTATGATGGAGGGTCTCAGAAGGGGTGAGCACGGTGAGGTTTGGAACCTCAGGGGAGCGTCCTGATGGAGGAGCTCTGTGGAGACGATGATCTGGAAAGGGGAGCCCTCCTCCCTGAGTGTGGGGGGCATCCAGCATGGGCAGCAAATGCAGAGTAACTCCGGGTGTCCTCCAGGACCAGGACTCCCACCTCGTTTGAGACTCTGAAACCCACTTTGTGGCTGTGACCAGGATTTGAGAAACCAGAATCGAAAGTGTCTGAGGGCCATATTCCACCACAGGGGCCTGTCCTGCGACACTTCCGTCTCTCACTCACACGCGACCATCCTGGATCCCGAGGATTCCTTGTGTGGGGTCCCGGCTCCAGAGGCCTCTGCAGCGCTCGGGCACCTGGGGTCCGCACCCCACTCTGCCCGACTTCCCACTCCTGGGGGGGCCCACAGAGTGCAGGGAGGGCTGGTGGAGGCTGCGGTGTGCGCCGGCCTCCCGAATGCCACCACAGGTTTCTTTCAGGTCATTGCAAAGGTAGTTCAGCGCAGAATCGAGGGCGCCTTTCCACGAGGGTGGGGAAGCTGACTGATCTCAGCATCAGGAAGGAAGTGGTGCTCTCAGGTGCTGCTGCCCTCCCCTGCAGCCTCCCCCTGCAGGAAACTCAGAGCCTCTGGCTGCTGAGCCCTCACTGTGAGGGCCCTTCTTCCTGTGCTCCCTGCAGGAGAGGACCACAGACACGCTGTTCTGCCAGCTCTCTGAGGGCATCTACCTGGCCAACAGGCGCATGAGCATCAGCCTGGTCACGGCCATCGCTGTGGACCGCTACGTGGCCGTGCGTGTGCGCCCGGGGGCTCCGCTCCCCACGGCAGGCCGCAGCCGTGTGCACAGCGCTCTGGGTGCTGGTAGCCAGCTTGCTGGGGCTGCGCTGGGCCCTGGGGGCGCAGGAGGGCGGCTTCTGCTTCTCCAACAGCTCCCGGCAAGGCTCCAACACCACTGCCTTCTCGCTGCTGGGCTTCTTACTGCCGCCGCCGTGCTGGTCCTCTGCTCTCTGCCGGTGGTCACCGCCCTGGGCCAGAGGCCGGCCGCCAGCCCCGACCAGGCGGAAGCAACCCGGAGGGCCACCCACATGGTCTGGGAGAACCTGGCCGTGTTCGTGGTCTGCTTCCTGCCCTTCCGCGTGGCGGCCTGAACACCTCTGCCATCTGCTACACCTTCTGCATCACGGGCGAGCCTCAGATGCCAACTGCTGTCTGGGCACCATCTGCTACTATTTCATGGCCGAGGAGTTCCAGGAGGCATCTTCACCGGCCTCGATGCCCACTGCCAAGGCCCACAGAACCAGAACTCTCTCTGTGCGACCCTCGCCTAGGAGACCAGTTGTGGGCACATGGGCCAGGTCCCAGGCTCTCCGGGAGGTCCTGCCTGCTGGGGCATCCCTGAACTCGCTGTGGCCACTGGGTACGCTGCAGGGGGCCTGGCCGGGTGGAGAGGACCCGGGCACGGAACCCGCGGCGGTGTCACCCCGACCCCTGGGATGGAAGAGGGTCGGGACCAGGGCAGGAAGACTGAGGTCTGAGTGAGGCCAATCCCAGCAGCCCGGGGATGGGGCCGACACTGCAGCGCCCCGAGTCTGGTACCCTTGGGTACTGGGGTAGATGCTTGCTCTGTGCTGTGAGGCCTCAGTGGGCAGCCTTCTGCTGCCGCCGCAGTGGGCCTGAAACAAAGCTGGCCCCCAGGGCTGGGCCTGGCCCTGTGTATGTGCATGCGTGCACGTGCTCCCCACACTCTCATGGTGGGAGGGCTGGGGTGTCTTCCTCGATGGCTCTCAAGGGCTCTCTACCTAGGGGCTCTCCTTGGGCCCCCCGCCCACCTCTTCTCACCCCCGCCCCACTCCCAGCCAACTGCAGGTCTCGCGGGGGCTATTTGCAGCTCCTGGAAGGGCCACGCTGACAGCCCGCTTTCCTCCTGCCGAGGAAGGGTCAGGACCCCTCGACCCCCCGTAGGGGCTGCACTAGGCTGGGGGTGGGTTGGGGGCAGTGAGGAAGTGCAGTGACAGGCCAAGGTCTGTCGAGGGGCACACTCCCTTGGGCTTCCTTCAGGGAAGCTGGAAGACCCTGCCCAGTGGCTGCAGGGCCTGGCGGGAGCGTGGATGCCCAGGCTGGTGTGTGTTGTACCCACCTCTCCTCGGCCTCCCTGCACTCAGACTGGAATCACCAGAGCCTTCTAGAGGCCCCCTGTGGTGCCGGTCCAAGTTGGGCCTGGGCACCAATCAGCCACACTGTCCTGTTCTTCTGCCTGTGAGCTCAGAGCCAGAAGGGCAGCCATGTCCCGGCCTCAGGCGCCTGCGGCTGATGCAGTCCCTCAGGTCCCGGGGTCAGGGGGCGCTGCTGAGAGGGGCCCATGCTCGGGGACGTCCACACTCAGGGGATCTCTGCTCGGGGGTGGGGCACTCAGGGAGCCTGTGCAGCTGGAATCCACTGCTGTCCTAGCCTGGGGCTCAGATGCTCCCCCCCACCGCCGCTGGGGACCCCCTCCCTTTGTCACCTTGGGTAGGTAGTGCCTACCCTGCCCACCGACGTGCACCAGGGCCGGGCAGGCTGCATTCTGTCCTGAGAAAGCATAAAGATGGCCAGGCGTGTCCAGTGGAGCAGGGCCGGGAGGAGCAGGGCACGTGCGAGCAAGGGCGAGTCTGCAATGGACCTCTCCCCACCCCCCCACAGGCAGACCACCTCCCTCTCCTGCCCCCATCCTGCACCCCGACACAGGCATCGGCCCTGGGACTAGGAGCCCCAACTTCCTCCCAGGCTCCCCATGACCCCCCCACACCCCTCACCCCATCCATCTCGTCCTTCTGCCGGCACCCCCTACGCCGGCACCCGGCCTCTCATCACAACCCTGCCCTTCCAGAGGCATGGCCAAGTGGACAGTTCCCAGGCCATGACCTCTACTGCCCTGACCCTCCGGGGTTCTCCTTTTCCAAGGGACCACAGAGTCCAGAGAAGGTTTCTCACTGTAGGGTGGGATGACCACTGGGCTGAGCAGCGAGCCAGGGCCGGGTGTAGATGTCCAGGGCCGTCCTTGGCCAGATTTGGGGATCCAGGGAGAGAGGCAGAGTAGGGCCTGGGGCTCCGCTTCGCCCCCTGCCCCCCGCTCAGCATGGTGGGGGGAGGGGACGCCCGGTGGCCAGTGTAGAGCAGCCATGGAGGAACAGAGCTTTAGACCAAAGGCTGACAGGCCAGGTGACAGGAGCTTCCCAGAGCCTGGGTTAAGAATTCGGAACCTCGCTCTGGGCTCAGCGAGCAGTGCTACCTGCACAGGTCAGGGCTAAGCCTGGCCCTGCTTCTGCGTGTGTTCGCCAGGGCTGTCCTTGCAGGGGCGGAGAAAGTGAGGGTGGGCAGGGGAGACCTCCACGGGGTCTCCTGGTGGCAGCCTGGTGCTGCTGGGTGGCGGGGGGAGGCCGGCCGTGCTCCGAGGTCACCAGCCTCCTGAGGTGCACGCTGCCCCACCTTGCTGGCCCCCGTCCACGGCTGGGAGACGGGATGTGCGCACCTCCGTCCCTCAGGCCTCTCTGGGCTCCCAGTAAGGGCAGGCAGCTGGACTTGCACAGAATTCCGGAACGAGAAAAGGAGCAGAGGCAAAATCACAGATGGTAAGCATCCAAAGAACGGACTTCTGAACCCTAATCCTGGCCCACACACTCTGAGAGGCCTCTCCCTAACGCCCCCCACCCTAGCCCAGAGGCCTCAGGGGCCAGTCTGGCACACTGAGCAGGTCTGGGCTCACCGTTAATTAGCAAGCCACAGGCACCTGAAAGTGGATTCACTTTGCGGCTGCATGAGCAGGAATATAGGGCCCAGAATGTGGGAGGGCACCGGTTCATTCTCCCCCTGCTAGGATTACACCTAGGGTATTTTTTCTGGCTAGGGACACTGGCCTGTAGTGTGCCCTAGTCACCTGGGAGGGGGTCTGGAGGGTACGGGCTGAGGGCTTGGCAGTAGCCAGAGGAAGTGTGAGCAGCAGATGAGTGAGGTGCCTCCCAGAAGGCAGGTGGCGTGTGCGATCTCCAAGGAACTGACAGGTCTGGGTGGCTGTGGAGTGCAGAGCCACGACGGGGAGAGACCCGGAGAACTACCCAGGGCCAGGCCGCGTCTGACCAGATCGCTGGGTGAGAGGCAGGATGTAAGCATCCAGGAATCTCCATACAGAGCAAGGTGCTCCTGGGGAGGCCATGTCACTTGATTCCTCCTAGTCCCTATGTCATCGGCGATGTCCGGTGTCTCTGGCTCTTTCCTCTGGGGCAGTTTGCTTCTCGGTGAAGGCTCTCTCTTCCTGTCCCTGTTGGGGGTTGAAGCATGGCCGCAGCAGGTCTCGGGAGAAGGTAGTCTGAGGGAGGCCAGCCACCAGCGGGCAGAGCTGCCCTTGGTCTCCTGTTCTCGGACCCACCTGCGGTGCCCCAGAGGAACTCTTCCTAAGAATATGTGCCCATCTTCTATGGGGCAAGGGCGTATCAGCCAGAGACAGTGCCGGAGCGAATGGGGTGCTGCGGGGTGTGGGGGCTGCTGCCCAGCCTCCAGCTCAGCCCCCTGCAGCTGCAGGGCAGAGTTTGGGGCAATGCAGGGAGGGGGCAGTGGAAGGCAGAGTCGAGCCGACTGGAAGGTCAGTACTTCAGGAAACTACTGCCCCCATTTCCCAAGTGGCCATCTGGATAACAGCCCCCAAGTCTGACCACGCGAACCCCACGTGGGGGAAGCGTGCCACAGCCTCTCCATTTTGTGCGGGCGCATGGACGGCACCTACCCCTAGCAGCAAAGGGGTCTTCCTGCTCCTGTCTCCTCGGGAGGGTACACAGGAAGGCGCAAATGACACTGATGACCAAGAGACACCCCCCCCGGCAGGGCTGGGACCACATACCTCTCAGAGTGAGGGGTGTCCTCGCCCTGCTTTCAGAGCCCCTGCTGCACACACAGTGCCAGATGCGCCAGCCCCCATTGCCAGGTCTGTGTGGCAGGCTGTCCCTCCCAGCGTCGCCCGAGCACCTGCCCCCAGCTCACCCACCTCACGGTGCACAGGGTGTGTTACTCCACTGTGAGGTGTCCCAGATTCACGGGAGGATGTGCTCCCCCACACGCCCCTGCTTCCCTCCAGCTTCTCCTGAGCGGGCGGCAGGACTCAGTTTCTTCTGGCTCCCTTCCTCCTGCAGGTGGTCAGGCAGACCCCCCACTCCTTGGGGGCTGCTGGCTTGGCCAAGGGCAGGGCCACCCTGGTGCTTGGGCAGGAATACACCCCTGCGTCAGGGTAGCTTCCAGAAGTCTCAGAGATGGCGGCTTGCACGCAGGGGTTTCCCGGGGAGTGCTCCTGGGAATCCCACCCATAACGGGGCTGGCAAAGCGGAATGGGCCAAGGGAGCAGCTTCTGTGCCCGTGGGGTGCTCTGTGCAGAGAAGACCGCGCAGCTGACCCCACAGGGTTACCACGGACGCACTGCCTCTGATGCACGCATCACTTGTTGAAGGCAAGTCTGGAGGGGCCTTGGGCTGTGAACTCTGGCAGCGTGTGCCTTGGTCATGACGGGAGGGCCCCAGCAGCACCCCACGGCATCCACTACAGCCTGCCACCCTGTCAGGCTGGGTGCCTGGACCCCTGAGCTGCAGCTCCCCGAGGCTACAGGGGTGGGTCTCCGGGTTCTCCAGCCCTGAACGGGGCAGGCTTCCTGTCCGGGGTCTCCCCAGCCGGTGCCAATGACGGACGCGCACAGGTTGGGGGCACCACCTGGCCAAAACGGGCCTCCTGGAAGCTGCACGCAGGCCCTCCTCCACCCCGTGTAAGAGGCCAGTCTCTGCAGGCTGCAAGCACCCTCGCTCCTGGCCCTGAGCTCCAGGCGGCTGCAGAGGCGGCCCAGGGCTGTGGTCAGGAAGTAACGTTGTGCAGGATGTCACGAAGAGCGTGCAGACACAGAGAGAGCCAGGCACACAGGGACCAGAGAAGGGGGCCCTGAGAAGTGGCGCCCACCTGCCAGACGCCCTCAGACATGTGACCACACCCACTCACAGAGCACAAAGGCGGTGATCACAGCCTTGGGGGCGGCGTGCAGCCTGAGCAGTCCGGCTGTGCGGAGAGTGGCCCAGCCCAGCTCCCTGAGGCCCCAGCCATCCCAGACTGGTGAGTCCACCCCAAGCCTGCCGTCCCCCTG